GGCTCTGGCTGTCTCGCCACTCCGGGGAAAGGGGACAGCTGGTGGGGGGAGGAGAAGGGGACGAGGGAGGGAGCGAGGCCAGGGGAGAGGCGGAGGGGGCGGTGGCGCGGAATTCTCGAGGCCACAGGCAGCAGAGGCTGGCAGGGCAGCTTGCTGGGGCCAAGCCTGGACCCTGGGCTGCGGAAGAGAATTCCTTCCAAGTTCTGGCCACCTGCCTTGCAGGCTCTGCTTTGGCCCAGATACAGCATCTGGCCCCCCAAGACAGACCCTGTCCTGGGGCGCTCTGGCGAGATCACAGGCGCCTTCCCGCAGCTCTCCTGTGACATGGCAGCGGAGACGCCTTGTCAACATCTGAAGGGAGTTATTCCCATAGACAAGGACCCTGACCTATCTCTCTAGTCCCCATTTCCATATCCCAACCCCATCCCGACACAGAAAGGCATCTTATTCGGATGGTCAAGCTAAATTCAGGGACTGAGTGGTCAGGTACTTGCTATAAGGCCAAAACAGAGTAGGCATCCGAGGTTGCCCAAAATGGTTTCTGATGATGTACCCGGCCCCTTGGAAGTACCTGTACTCCAATCTCCTATAGCACTTTTCCAGGGATTCTCACATCTCAACATGTGAGCTACCATCCATGATGTGACCCTGATTTCCTTGGGCAAACCATCTTCCCAGAAGTGAAACCAAGTTCTTCCACTAAAAGGAGCACACTCTTTAAAAAGGCTCTTTGGCTACACTCTCTAGCTGTCTTGGGATCTGAAAAGTTCTGAAAAGTTCTGGAGGGTATGTTCACTCTGCTCCAAGTTAGGCCAGTACAAAGGGTATCTGTCCTTCCAGGGCTTAGTAACAGATTGAGACCGTGATGGCTTGCGGGGAAGCCATATTTTCTCAGGGAGGATCTTTTAGGGAAAACAAGGCAGTAAGACAAAGATCAGTCCAGAATATGTTATACTGACAATAGGCTGGGCTTCAACAAAGGAAAAGAGTTGCTTAGTAGATGGGGAAGTAGGAAGAACTAGGCAGTGCCGGTAAGGTCTGCTTGTGTATAGCTGCCAAACGAAAATAGGAGGAAAGAAAGAAGAGTATATCCTCTTGGTACACCTTGAAAACCAAGTTGCTTCTTCAAGACCATTCAAACTGCAGGTACCATGGGTTGAAAAAAAAGGAAGGTTTTCTGGTACCTCTTCCGTCAGCCCTCTCATCCACTCAAAGGCCTGCAGCTTCTGTGTCCTGTGGTGAAGATGGCACCAAAACTATATCCAGGGTCTCTAACATAGCCTTGCTTCACAGCCTTATCCAGGCCTCAGAGACATTCCACATGACCCTAACACTGGTTCCCTCCTAATCACCTTGCCTCCACGTTCTCACTATCGAGGGGCTCAGGGAAGTGACTTAGCATGATGAGTGCCAGAGGAAACAGCTAGAGAATTTTCAAAGCAGCACCAACCTGGGAATATAACTGTTGAGCTAAAAGATTCTTCTTGTCTATTGCAAGATGCTCAGAAATATCTAGGGATTTTTCTTTTGGAGGAGGAGGGAAGTAGTCCCTTCACAATAGCATAAAAATAGTCATTTCAACTTATCTTTTACTTTTCAACACCCTTGTGAGATCGAAAGATTATTCCCGTTTTCAGAAGAGAAAACTGAGGTTCAGAGTGGTCAGGGGCAGGACGAGAATTATAAAGTTTGCTTGGTCTTCTCAGTCCTAAGACATTACTTTTGTCAAGTGGGTGGTATACATGGGCTACTTCCATTTTCCTAGCTTTGCCTCCTCTTGAACCTTCTAGAGTCTAGTGCTTTCTTTCAAAACTGCTGTCCGTAAGTAAGTATTCCCGGTGACCTCCCAGCCAAAGTCAAGGGTCTCCACTCAGTTTGTGTCTTTGACCTTGAGGATGAATTTGATACCGTTAACCACCCACTCCTTCCTGTAACTGTCCTACCCTTGGCTCTGATGCCATTGCATTCTCAAGTTTCTCTTCTTATCTCTCTGACCCATCATTCTCTGTCCCCTTTGCTGGCGCCTCTTCTTTCCTCCTCCAACTGTTGGAATCCCCGAAGACTCAATCCCCAGCTATTCTTTCTTAAAACCCATTTCCTTGGAAAATGTCTCCTTACATGGATTCACCTACCACATGGTATATATTTAGCCAAATTTGAATCTCTAGCTCAGATTCTTGGTAGCATCTCTCAGATCTATCTGCTCCTTCCTTTCTGGTTTTATTGCCACAAGCTTAATCCAAGCTCTCATTACCCCAGGTCAAATATGCAAACTGAGAGGCTCCTGGCAGTTCTCCCTGCCTGCAGCGCAATCCACCATGCTATGGCGAGAATCATTCTCCTCACACACCATTTCTATCAATTCACCCCTTTATTCAGAAGCCCAGAGATGCTCCTCGTTGTTTCCTTAATGAAGTTCAATCCTCTGTGGTGGGCCTCAAGTCCTCAGCACCTATAGACACCATGTCCTCCCCTTTGAATTTGAAAATCAGCATATGCCCCGGGTTCCCCTCCAATACGCCGTGACTTTCACCTTCAAAATTCACTGTCTGAAGGAAGTCTTGCCTGATTTCCCTTGTTTGTGCTTTCAGATCCTCACAGGGAACCCCACATGGGCACCACACAGGCACACACACAGACACACTCATGGCCTTGTGGCCTGTCATTTTCGCTTGACAACATACTCTGAAATTCGCCCATGTTGTTTCTGTACCATTATTTTATTGTCCACTACACAGTATCCCAGACTCTGGATCCACCATAATTTTTTACAATTTGCCCTTATTGTAAGAGTGCTGTTGTTTCCAGGTTTTTGCGATTAGAAACAATATTTTAATGAACATATACAAAGCTACTTCTAATGCCATGAAAGGAGATCATTACCAGAGGAAAAGAAAACTACCTATTTACAGAAGACTGGTGTGGGGAGCAGTAGATGTATAGAAGGGGGTGGGAAGAGAAATGGAGAATAATCATCAAATTTAAAAAGACCCATCGCTCCAAAAAAAAAATGGGGGGGTGTTGTGCATGTGTGGGATTCTGGATTTCTTTTCACACCAAGGGCTGCTGCTCCCAGTCCCAGGCCAGTCCTGAATGGCTGAGAAGGCAACCCATTTCCCTACTACAGTCAATGAAATCGCATATCAGACGGACTGACCTTGGTCCTCATTCCTCCCTACCCTACCACCCCTATTCCACACCTGTCTCCTACCTATCAAATGATCATCTCTTTTTCCATCATCTGGAATTCACTTATTTCCAAAACATAATGAAGCGTGCTGACAAATGGAAAGTCATTCATAAACATGTATTTAGACTTGCAAAAACTCTTGGGAAAGGTTCTGTTCCGTGCCACGGTTGTTTTAAAAGTACAATTGAGGCGCCGTGGACTAGAAATGCTTTTGCCATTCCTTGAGACTCTGAGTGCTTCCTGCCAATAGTGCAGCTCCAGGGAAGTTGGTTGAATTGAACTGAGTTTGGCTAGTTGCCAAAGGACAGGCATAGCTGGTCAGCGCCGTTGGGTTCCAAGAGGCTGGCAAAGCCACAAGGGGCTCTGAAGGAAGAGAGGAAAGAAGGCTTCATGAGGCACCAACTACAGACTGAGAAAGAATCATTCATTCATTCAACAAGTATTTATGGCATGTTACTTTGTGCATGGCACTGTGCTGGGTGCTAGAGACACATCGGTGAGCAAGTCACATCGGTGAACAGTCTGTGCTTTTGTAACTCTCGCAGCCACTTTCTTGTGAACTGAGGACAAATAAGGAGCATCAGGATGTGGAGCAGAGCAACAGTGGGCATGAAGCCCAGCGGTAATTACAATTAGGAGAGAATTGTCCCTCTAGACCCAAGCTCTTAACACTAAGGTCCAAAGCCTTGGGTGTTTT